AAGCAGGAACCAGTGGGCTGCGGGGGCGGATGCTGGGGCGGGAGGTCCTGAGAAATGCATCTGTTGGGGGAGACTTGGGGTCATGCCTTGCATGCATCAGCATGTTGTGTGTCCCAGCGGGGGGGCAATGCCCTCAGAGGCCGGCACCACTCTCTCTCCTACGCTCCAGGGTGGACATCATGGGTCCTTCTACAACCCCCATATCTCGAGGTGCCCTGCAGCATTGCACAGAGCCAGTCCCTTGTCCCATCACTGACAGAGGTGACACGATCCTCCCAAAACAAAGCTGGCAACTTAGGGCACGCGTACGTTTGGTTCTCGCTTGGGAGCCTGGAGGAACGGGGATTTGAGGCGGGATATGCCTCTCCCTGCCAGATCAAGTCTCTGCTCCTCTTGGTTTCAAGGGGACTCCCCTGCTTCTCCAGGCAATCTAGTGGGCCACCAGAAACCCTGGAGTTTCACACTCTCCTTCTTCACAAATCATAACCCCACCTCTCTTCAGAAGGGGTCGAGCTTCCCTGCTGCAGGAGGCACTGATCCCCCGGGCCATTCAAACATGTACGTCCTGATGCCATGGTCCTCTCTTCCCTGGCTGGATGAGGTGTCCCCTTGATCCCAAACCAACCCTCCTCAGAGCCTGAGGAGCCAGGGATGGAGCCTGTGTGTCCAGCTCTGGGCAGGGGATTCACCACGGGACAGGATGCCCCAGGCAGGGCACTGTGATATGGACAGGAGCAGGTGCCCTACGAGCTCGGGGATGGGGATGCCCCAAGGCTCGCAGCAGGAGCCAGCATCAGAGCAGGAGCTAAACTCAGTTGCCTTCATTAAAATCCTTCCTGGTTTTGTATCCAAAGCCATTTACCTGTGATAAATGCTGCATTTCGCTGCGTTCTAGCCTTTTAAACAGAGCTGGGCAGCAAGAAGAGGCTCCCAATGCCAGCTGGAGAGAGTAGGAAATCAAAGGGAGAAGAGGTGGTATGGAGGACACCCAGCCTAGGCAGAGCACAGGTCTGGGGGGATGCAGGGACATCTCCTACCACCTCTGTGGCCCACGTCCTCCACAGCCTAGGACAAGGCATGCAGAGCCAGCTTGGCACAACACCCGCTTCTGCGTGTCCCTGTTTTTGAATGCCTGACCTGAGACACCCCGCATTTTCTTTGTGGAGGAGCGGGGGGCCCACAGCTCCCCTTGTCTTCATGCTTTTACACAACAGGCTCTTCGTGGCGGCTTCCCAAAGCCAGAGGAGAAAGGCCCACTGTTCTGCTCTCGTCCCCTGTGCCCATGCAGGGACGTGGCGGCGGGGACCTTGTCTTTCTCTGCTGTGACAAACGGTGTGTGCCAGTGCCGCAGGCAGCACAGGATGCCCCTGGCAGGACGCTGAAGGCAAGGGGAGGCTGTCAGGAGGAAAGCCCTTGGAGAACCAAAGGACCAGACCTTTGGTACTGGCCCATGCTGGGTGCAAGAGCGGGGTGTCACCTGCCCCTCCCAGCCTCGTCACCCCCTTGCCCTTTGGCTGGGCTGCCCCACGGCACCTTCTTATCTCACACAGACCCATCTACTCTGTGGAAGGTCTTCTTCCAGAGTCAGCCCCACCACTTACACACACTCCTTTTCCTCCCTGTCCTGGCCAGACCCCAGGATTGCTCAAGCCCCTCTTTCGGTTCCTGATTTTCGGTAAGCCGGCTGTAAGGGCTGCCCCAAGAAGTGGCCCTGCAAAAGCCCATGGCAAACTCCTTGCCTCTCAGAAGCTCTTCCTCCAGGAAGAAAGATGTTTCCCTTGTAGCCAACCCTGCCAAGAAAACCCCAGAGCTGAGACACACATGAGGATCCTGTTTCATTCCTGGAGAGTGCATGTGCCTGGAGCTCTGCTGGCCACCCTGCTCCTGATGCTTGAGCCAGAGCAGACCTTCTGGGCACAGGCAGGCTCTGCAGGGCTAACTGAAATTAAGGCAGGGATAACGATCACGAGACAGAAAGCTGCCTGTCTGCCTGATTCCCAGGGAGGCAAACCTGCAGCACGGTTTATTCTCTGCTGCTGTGGATGTGAACACGACGCCTCTGCAGCAGCTCTCTGGGACTAGAAGTTCCTTGTGCTCTTCCCAGGGTCTCCAGGCCCCCAGAAGGAACAGCTGGGATTCCTGCTCCCCTTCCCAATATTTTATGGGAAACACCATAAAAAGGCCAAGGCAAAGCCAGGGAAGCCCTGACCGCTCACCTCGAGAGAAACGCAGGCCTTTGCCAGCAAACTCCCTCTGCAAGGCTGCCACAAACTTCTCCCGGATCCGTTCTTTCTGCAGAGGAGAAGGAGGAAAGGGAAAGGGAAAGGGAAAGGGAAAGGGAAAGGGAAAGGGAAAGGGAAAGGGAAAGGGAAAGGGAAAGGGAAAGGGAAAGGGAAAGGGAAAGGGAAGAGGGTTTGAATAATTACATGTTGACAGTCTACCAGAATCCACTGTAAGCTGTCTGCTGGGCAGCTCTGGCGTATTGCTCTGCTCCCTTCCAATCTCTGCCCCAAGCCCCAGTCCAACACCATTTACCCAGCTTTCACCAGTCCTGCCCAGTGTCTCCGTAAAAGGCCATCAGCTCACGGCAGCTCCAGCAGGCTCCTGGGAAGAGCAGCTCCCCAGCCCTTCCTTGGCAATGAAATGCAACTGCTTCAGTTTCCCAGAAGCCCAGTTCATAACCCAAAGTCTCCAGCTTTGCTTAAAAAGTCTTGCAAAGTCTGACTGATCCCTCAACGCCAAGAAAGATCCCCCAGGCAGGAACTGCTGTGAGCATGGGCCAAGTGCTCCAGAGATCTGCCCAGCAGATCTGTTGTGGCCCTCCCAGTCTGGAAAGCCCATTAATTCCAGCTCTGTTGGGGCTGGAAGAGTGGGATAGAGAAGAGAGCTGCTGGGCCATCTTTGGTTACCGTAAATGAGGAAACACCCTGTTAAATAAGTGCCTTATTCCCTGGGGCTTTCCCACAGCACAAGGAATCCTGCTGGCCACCCCATTGCGTTGGTGGTCCCCAATGAAGTCCAATTCTTCCATTCATCTGTGTCTCTCCTTGGGTTTTCTCACCCCCAGTCCTGTCTCCACTATGCTGCATGTGTTGGCCTGGTGCACAGCTTGGAGCTGGGCTCCTTTCTCCTCAGGGCGGAGGGAAACAGGTAAGACCTGAGATCTGTGGTGGTGCAAAACCAGCAAAGGGGAGAGCGAGCCCGAGTCTGTCCCATCTACCTTGTCCAGCTCGGAGAACTCGATTCGCTCCTCTGGCGTGCAGCTCCGTCCGATGGGGGAGATGTTCAGCATCCCGTTGCGAAACTCAATGAAGGTTCCTCTGTGAGTGGGCAAGGGCAGAAGGTTACTCGGGCAGGGAGAGAAAACCAGACCTTTCCAGGGGAATGCCTGCTTGGTGAGGCATGCAGTCTCTGCAGGGACACGAAGGAGGAGAGAAGCCATGCCCACTCATGAATGCTTCAGCCAGGCGGAGAGCAGGCATCAACAACTCTGCTTGAAGTCTTGAAGGGGCTCACAGTTTTATAAAAACAGACTGTAAGAGAAGAGGAATAAACAGTTCCTGCATGCCCTGGGGACAGGCTAGAAGCAACGAGCTTAGGTGAGACGACAGGAATAATTATCACAGAATCACAGAATCATTAAGGTTGGAAAAGAGCTTTAAGATCGTCAAGTCCAATCATCAACGCAACATCACCATGCCCACTAAAACGTGTCCCAAAGTGCCACATCTACACGTTTCTTGAACACTTCCAGTGATGGTGACTCCACCTCCCTGGGCAGCCTGTTCCAATGCTTGATAATTCTCTCAGTAAAGAAATTTTTTCTAATATCCAGTCTAAACCTCCGCTGGCACAACTTGAGGCCATTTCCTCTCGTCCTATTGCTAGTTACTTGGGAGAAGAGACCAACACCCACCTCACCACAACCCCCTTTCAGGTAGTTGTAGAGAGCGATGACGTCTCACCTCAGCCTCCTCTTTTGATGTTTTCTAATGTTGTAATAACTGCAAGGACAGCTATTGCCTGGAGTGGACCAACCGCCTGATGAGAATGTGGCATTGCCACATCTGGAGGCTTTTAGGAAACATTGGGTGGGTTGGGTGAAGCTGACGGTATCTTGGGGCAGTGGGTTGGAACAGGTCAGTGTAACTCACTACTGATGCCCGGTGGCAGGCTGATGAGCAATCAGGACCTCGTCATGGGACACAAACCAGGTAGGACCCGCAGGGCCTTTGTGTCTCCCATTTGTCCCCGGCACCTTTGACTGCAACTCTTGTCCAGGACTGCCCGGAGAGGACCCAGCTCCTGCTTGCCACCTGCACCTTACACTGGGATCACTACTCTGCTGCTTCCTCAGTGGGCTGGTTCAAAGCACTAAGCGGGCAGAAAACTGCTCCCTTTTTTTCTCTTTGCTATAAACCCGGCCAGTTCTGTTTGCTGATCACCTTGGAACAGCTCACCGAGGGGTCAGACAAGCACCAGCACTGGTGGGGCATAAACAACAGGGGATGGCAGCACTGCCAGTTTGAAAATAGATTGAAACTCTTGTGGAAACCTGGCTGGAGCAGGGAGATCCCCTTCCCTGACCAGCTGAGGACCTCTGTGCTCATTAACCCTCTGATGTCCCTTCCAGACCTGCCCGCTGTTTCTCTGTGATAAAGTGCTTACCACTCTGAGTCTGGGGGAAAAAACTCTCTACCTCCTGTCTTGTAACACAGTGAAGAACACCATGGGGAATGGACACACTGGAAGCCATGCCTGCAGCCTGGAAGCATCATCTCTGCAGCACCAAGGGTTTGGTGGCTCATGCCCCAGGCCAAGACCTGGGAGATGTGGGTTAAAGTCCTTACTTTGCTAGAAATCCCAGAAGCCTAAATCGACAGAGGCACTCGGGAGCTGAAACTTCTCCATGCTGTTGGGCAACTAGACAACAATGAGGCAACCAAACAGCCTTGAGGGTTCTGGGTCCCAGCCCACGCTTTCGGGGGCATGTTCAGCCAGCAGTCCTGTCACAGGGAGCCACCCTGGCCCCTCTCACCAGTCCTCGTGTTGCCACATGGTGACTCACATCAAGCAGCTAATCTGGATCACAGTTTAGCAACTTTTACCAGCTTAATTTCGACCAGACATCTTGCCTGCTCGTGTTCACCGTACAAACAGAAAGGGAGAGCAGGAACAAGCCAGCTGGGGTGAGGGGAGGGCAGAGCTGCTGCTTTCAACAGCACTGCTGGCTCACGCCGGCAAGCGTTTGTGAAACCATGGTCTGAGGGGTGGTTTGACCTGCACCCAGGCTGGTTTAACCGAAGGCTGCCTCTGAAAAGAGGTCCTCCTGCCCTCCACTTCCACCTTCATGCCATCTGTTCCCTCTCTCTCCTTCCTGTGATAACAGGGCAAGCCAATCCAATGGAAAACTACCCTTTTCTTTCCTGGCAGTGGCCTAGTCTTCCTTCAGAGGAGGTGTACCAACCTGCCTCAGCCTGGGGCTGCTGGATCTCATGGGGGGATGCGGACAGGAGCACACGGTCGGGGGCAGAGCAGGGCCAGCCCTACTACCAGTGGTGCCAAGTAACACTGGGTTAGAAACAGTGTGAAACTGTGTGCTCAGCCGTTGGACCTTAAGAGCTGGATCTTAAGGGCCATTGTTCGTCTGTTTGGAAACTCATGCGACCAATAATGCTTGATGCCCTGACCAGTAACGAGCTGGTACCATTGTCCTAAATGAGATGCACACAGTGGCTGTACCCTGCTTCCCAGGGAAGAAAATCCAAGGCGCAAAAGAGCAGGCACTGCGCTAAAAACCAGTGCAGACTCTCCAGAACAAGGACCCTCCTCCATTATTTGCCCACAGTGCCCAGCTTAGTGGGACAGTGATCCGACACAGGGCCTCTAGATGCTAAGATAAAACCCGGAGCAAGACAAGCTCAGTAGCTCAGCTGTTGTTAGGAGAGCTCTGGAGCCCAGAGTTCCCTAGAAATCAGTGATATGACTGCCATTAGCACGGGCTTGGGCCATTACCGTTTCTTGGGCAGCTTCAGCAGCGCCATGTAGTTGAGACAGAAGTTGATTAGATCCTGCAGCAGCTCTTCCCCCAAGTGGTCCTGAATGGCCTACGGGAGGAGAAGGGGGAGTGAGGAAGATGCTTGACCTCCCGTGAAGCCCATCCACGAACATGAGCTGGAGGAGCAGGACATTTAGATCTGACATTTGGGGAGAAGAGAAGAAGCTGCCCATCTGCCTGGGGCCAGGCGCTGCTCCCCATGGGGCGCAGGGCACGGGGAAGGAGAGCCATGCTGCAAGGGGAACTAGACATACCTGCTTGGATACCAGCTGCCCATTCTTGTACTGCACTGTGCCGTTCTCTGCGAAGACGTAGTCAAACTTATCGATGACTGAGGGGAGAGGAAACAAAAGAGGAAATATGAGCACTGCCTGGGAAAAGGGGCCAGAAGGACTGGGGTCAGGACTGAGTGAACCATCCTCCCGGTTCCTCAGTACAGTGCTTTCCACGTCTCCCGTGCTCTGAAAAAGGCCACCGACCCTCCCCACTGCCCACAAAGTGGGTGAGGAGATTATCTTCTCCCCACAGGTGGGGAGCTGACGCACGCAGGGGGAAACAACCCGACCGAGGTCACGGGCTGAATCAGTGGCAGGACTAAGATAAGGGCTCCAAAATGTCAGGCTTTCAACCACGTGCGTGTTACTCTGCTCGCTCTCCTCCCCTCCCCACTGCCAGGGCGCCGGGGTGATGCAGTTACTGGTTATCTAACTCCAGCCCCTCCTGCAGCCTGGACACACAGCGCTGCCGACTCAGCAATCAGCCTCAGCCGGGAATTTCTCGGCCTCCCTCCGCTACTGGGGCGGGAGGCAGAGCTCGGAGCCCAGCCGCGCTCGGCATCCATGCCCGAGAAGGAAAGCAAGGTGGAGGGAGCGGGAGCTGCCCCCTCGCCCTCCCACCCCCTCATCTATCCCCTGTCCCTGTTTGAATGCGATGAGGAACCCCTCGGAGACCCTACCATGGAGCAGCAAGGAGGCAAAATTTGCAAAGGGCTCCTGCCCGCTGAGCGGGGGGGAAGCCGTCAGAGCCCAGACGAAGCTCATACAAACCCAGTGCCGGAGCTGGCAGCGCGGGCTGGAGCAT